CTGTCTGCAGTAGACTTGAGTCTAGACTTGTCATGCCACATTATTTACTGCCACTGGGCACACAAAAAAGTTGCAGAAGCAAAGAGGACTCATCGGAACTCGTATGTGTGCACACGCACAGCTGACGTGCATGGACGACCTGCGGTAGAGAGGAACTACCCTCAAAATGACTGATAAGCCAACCATGGAATTGTCATAAAAACCAGCTGAGCTGACCAGAAATCACTTTGAAATTGATAGTAGAAAAATATGTGGAAGTGGAAATTAGTGTGAGGGGTGTGTTTCTAAATTTTTGGCAACATGAGCAGAAACATTTGAAGGATTTGGAATAGAGTTTGATTATTAATGGATGTGGGTGTGGAGCGAAAACAAATTATATAAATTCAAGAATTTTGAAAAAAATTCCTGGTATGCAATTCCGTTAGATTTTATTTTGTTTTATATTGGATTTCGAAGTAAATTTTTATCCAAACAAATAAAAAACGTAACAAAGCTAAAAAAAAATCAAAATAAAAATGCAGGAAAAACACATGAGATAAAAACTTAAGAACTCGACAAACACCATTTTTTATATCTTACTTTTTTTTTTTTGAATTTTTTTATTATTTTATTTTTCTTAGTTAACACTCAAATGGCAACAATTTACATAAAACCCGCAAAACCAGTTCCACAAGCAGCAAAGCAAATGAAACAAATCCAAGTCAAGCTAACGAAACAGTCAGCAATCGTCAAAAGCAATTTCTGACCATGTTTAGTCCATTTAACTTGGCTTTATGTGTTTATTTTGTGTTTTATATGTCGTCGTTTCCTCTCTTGCCTTCCACTGTTCTGTAGAAATTCTTTGGTAATTTTTCTGGTTCTTAAGAATTTACATTGAAATATAAATATGTGTATAATAATATACAAAAAACAAAAAAAAAACATCTGTAGTATTAATAACGTACAGCATCGCTTCCAACAACAACTACAACTACAACCAACAGCAATTAATAAACTATATCGTGTATCGCGGCATATTGCATTTGACGTTTAATGCTTGGAGACTATCGCATTCATTGTCCGACTGTCAGCAGCAATAATGTTCAGACAGACACGAAGACTTAAGCTTCACTCATTAACCAGCTTAAGCATTTTCAAACCAGCATCAGAATTTCTAAATCTCAATACAGCGAACTTAATTTGAAAAGACACCGCACCAGGAATTCTTACTGTAATCGATATTATTTCACGTATACAAGCAAAAGAACTCTAATTTTATAAAGGATTTATTGTAGCTACGCACCTCTTTACCGGGTGACCCACCAAACAGCATAAAGTAATTTTTCAATTTTTAATAGAATAAATCACTATTGCTACTACACCACACAACTTGTCAGAGTGTTCATTGGTATTAAACTTAAGGACCAATTAAATTATCTAAATTCGACAGAATGGATTCAGTTTTTCTTTTTCTATCATAAGGTTTCTTGCGAGGAATGTGGTACCAAAACATCGAAAAAATCGTTAATTAAAGTAAATAGAATGCTATATGCTAACCTGCTACTGCAATCAATCAAAATAATATGTCCCAGCGGGCACTGACTTATAACAATACAACCAAATATTTATTTTTTTTAAACTGGTATTGTAATAAGTTATTTCGATTTATTGCAATAAACTAAGTACAATTTTAGAGTAGTTGTGAGTTCATTTCTTTAAATATTTCTGTCTTAGAAAAGGCTTATACGAATCAGATAAAATAAAAGCTTATAAATAAGTTTTTATTTATGTTTTTATTATTACAATATATAATAGTCTATATAAATATCACCGACGTCTTGAACTTTATTTGATGTCTTCCTCATGGCGGAGTAATATTACAAATGCTCTTTAAAACATATAAAGCGGTCATTTATACTAAAATCTATTTACAAATTCAGTTTTAAACAATAAACAAATAAGTTTATTTGTTTTTATTAACTTTTTACTTCATTCTAGGTATATACAGACTAATGACAAAAACAAATGATCATAATGAATACGTTCAATGAACTAGAGAAATATTTATTGTACAGTAATAAATTTGCAACTACAAAATATTTTTTATTTTTAATTAAATAAATTTTTTTTGGCTTAATTAAAAATAAGAAACAAAAATTGTTGTTGTTGCAATTTCATTACTATACGATAAAAACCTCTCTCTACTTCGACTAATCCTTCAACTCAGTGGGACCACTTGTTGGACAGTGCGCTTTATACACAATACTATACATAACATATGAACGAGTATACCCAATAAGTTTTCAAACAATTCATTTCTAATCCAAACCTACATATTGTAATCAAGCATATATGTAAAAATAAGCTAATAGAAGATGTAGGTGATAATATTGAACCTAACATGGTTCCAGCCAAATAAACTTTACCACCTCAATCATAATCAGAACCATAAATCTATAAGACCCAAATGTGTATATGCAATTTGACTTGAAAATAAATAGACCACATTATGATTAGCTGTCGTTGAAACACACATTAGGAACTGACGTATTTATACGTAATAATAATTTCTTAACCCTATATATGTATCTATATGTCTATATAGGCTATATCCAGACTATAATTGGATGAAAACAATTTTTCCGGCACATGAAAAGCATTTTTTAACCCTAGAACTTTGTTGTGATATAACAATGATATATTAATATTATATCCGTTACTGTAGATGTCGATGTATTTATTACACAAAGAGAGGAATCGATACATAATAAATAATTCTTTAACCCGTGGCTTTATTCAAACCTTAATTGGACGAAAACAATTCTTTCTGCACATGGGAAGTATTGTATAACCCTAGGATTTCGTTGTAATATAGCCTAATACAGCTCTTAAATTCTTCCGAATATACAACAAATATTTCGAATAAATCAGTTTGGGATCACATTGTAGGGTAACAGAAATAATATTGAAAAATAGATCCTAAATGAAGCCTGTCTCGCATTTACTTAATTCAAAATCTGAAGCAAAGTAAAGTCACCCTGTATATTATACCTAGCACCTTTTGCTTATTATAAATTTGCATATTTACAACTGAAAACTATAAATGGTAAACTGTTATAAACTTTATACATATTTCATTTACGAATTAATTGCTTTTGACATCCATATATTGAGACCTGAATTAAGCTACGCGAATATAACAGCTTTACACAAAGAAATTTTAGAAATATTATGGAAAAAAATGAACGTTCGATGTTACTAGAATTTAAATATATAATAAATTTTAAATAAAATTCTCTATTTGTGATTTTGAAAAATATTATAGCACACTAAAGACGGCACTAAGAACACTCATATCAAATTGTACATATTGCATGGATCATTTACAATCATGTAAGGACTCAGCGACTGATTGATATTTTCACTAACCAATACAGTTGCTGTATTATTAAAATATGGTCATATAAGCAGATTTGGCAATCGGATCTGTAATTTTCGCAACGATTATGGAAAAAATTGTGCATTAAGAGAGGAAGAAGAATCTGCTCTGTCACTGCCAGACTTGACTACAATCACATAAGAACTCAGAAACTGATTGATTTTCTCACTGTTCAATACTCTTGCTATGTTATATGACATTGCCTTATGGATAGGCGCAGTGATTGGATAGGGAATTCTTTCAACGACTATTGAAGAAGATGTGTTCTGTCACTGTCAGGTTTTTGCCGAAAGAAATAAATTCAGTATAGGTTTCATGTCTCTTAGATTTATCAAAAAATAGTGGATTTTGACAAAAAAAAAATTTGAAAATATTGTATAAAATCAGCACTTCTCAAAGTTTTCAAACTTTAAACGCCTTTAGCTGTTAAGAAACGATTTCTAGTGTATCTTGAACTATATCTATGAGGCCTTGGATGACAGGTTTGTTCTACATATCAATTAAACCTGTTACACTAAAATAATGTTGCAAAATTAGGACCATAAATAGATAACTTTACATATATATATATCATATATCTTAAAGTAATACCCGGTACATGGCATAATTAATCAAGCGTTAGAAAATTTTTCTCTTAATCAACACACAGTAATTTCTCAGTACAGTATAAGGATACATTTATCTATATTTGTATGGTCAACTAGCGCGCTACAAAACTCTATATCCTATTACTCTGATCCCCCTTTAAAGTATCATTGAACCCTTTTCAATAAGAGGGCATACTATTGACGTCCTAAAACCTATCTGAACTGTCTATTGAACTGCATGAATGAAATATATAAGTAATTATTATTACATTCCAATCGTAATACACTAACTTATTAATTATGAGAGTTATCCTTGAGAGTTATCATCAGGATCACGATCTAACATAAATTAATATTACTAAAACTATATCTGCGTCATCCACTGTATTCTATCGTCTATACCTACTGCATATTTTATTTTTAATATAAGTTGTAATTTAACGTCAGTTGTGACTAAAGTGACTATTATATTTAGGAGAAACTAGCATATTATAGAGGTATAGAGGTTTCGAAAAGTAGTGAACTACAACAACAAAAATTATTTTTATTTTATTTAAACGTTTTTTTTTTTAATTTGAGCAACCGATTCATACGGAATTGTACTAATAATTTCACATTAATTAACATAAGAAACTCAAGTTAGAATTTGTTTTAACCCATATCCGCCCAACGTTCGATTAATCGAACAGCAAATCTTATTACTTTTCATGGATTTTTATATATATTTTTATTATATTTATATTAGCAAAACTTTAGAGTTTATATATACCATTATTTTGAATGTATGAAGCTTTAGCTTTACAAATATATATGTGACTTTACTCCACACCCCCACCTCCTTACTAATTAAGCTTTAAAAAAAATTTTGACCAAAAATTCCAAAAAAAAGTCCTTGGGCGGATATGGGTTAATCTCCTACTATAATAACAAAGGCTCACCAATAAAGTTCCCTAAAAATGTTTGAGTCTAGAAACTAATTTGTTTACTTTACTTACCCATAATTCAATACCCCAACTCATTTTGTTGGAGTTTTCCGTAACTTCCTCCGCCAGTTTTATAATTAAATCCAAACGTTATTTACTAATTAATTCGTTAATGGCTTTAGCTTTTGCTTTATTATAATTTATCTGTTATCCAAGGGGTTTCGTGTTAGGTGGAAACACTACCACCGAAACAAATTGCAGCAGTAAATTGAAAATGTATTTCTTAAAATTCTAAAAATGAAAACAAAATTCAAACACAAAACAATTACAAACAAAATGAATTAATGAATTAAAAGCAAACTGTATAGGCAGAAACCGATAGATAAAATGTAGGGAGAATAACGAGCGAGGCAGGTAGATAAAACAACGCCGCGGAACAGGTAAGAATTGTGGAGAACACACACGCACACTAACGCAGGAATTTTAAATGAAATTCCAATTATTAATTTCTTTTATTTGGTTCACATTGCAAATGTTTTCATCTGCTGTTGTTGTTGTTATTATTATTTTTTGTTGTCGTTGTTGTTGTTATTGTGTGGTTACTTTATATTGAACATATATGTGGAATTGATATTCTACACAGAATCGCTTGCTTATGTTCGTTGTTTTTGTATGTTGCAGAATTTGTGTGCAAGGCAGGAAACTATGATAAAATTGCAGCCAGTAACGTAACACAAAAAAAAAATGCGTACAAACGATCAAAACCCGATAAAATTTTTTTCACTTTAACTGCATATAGGAAATATTTTCAAAAGATTATTTACATGCGTTATTATTATTATAAACAAATTATTTCTTATCTTTTTGCATTTGTTACATTTGTAATTGGGGCGCGACAACAACAACATTAAACTGTTTTCTCTGTTTGCTACTTTTTTTCTTAAAGCAAAAAAATAAATATAATTTATTTTAATATATTTTATATAATATTACGTTTCACTGTGATTTTCTCAAATTGTTGCACTTAAATTTTGTTACATATTTTTTATGTTAAATTTATTCTAAACTTTAACTAAAATTTACATTATTTTATTATGTGTAGACTACGTTTGTAGCAAAAAATGAAACTGTCACTATCCGAGATTCAACCTTTTGTCTCGTAATTTTCTCGTTAAACTAAAATAATTCCGATTCATTTTGTTGTTGGTTGAAAAGTGTTACCAGTGCGCAAAACTCTAATGTCAAAATAGAGTACACAGATTACACAATTTATGCTTAACATGTGTAATTCGAAAGAAATTAATATTTATATCCACGGTTGCCACTTATGGTACTTTAGTACCAAAATTGGTACTTTTTTTTTTTTTTCGTTTGGTACTCATGTTCAAAAAATGGTACATTTTTGACGACCCAACTTTATTGTGGATATTTCCAATTAATTTTTTTATAAATGCAACTTTGCACTATTTTATATTTTGTTCATTTATAACACTATGAAAAACACAAAACGAAAAAACAAAAGGGTCAAAAAAATTTTGGACCTTTTTTTACAGAAATGGTACCCTTTTAAACCAATTTTGGTACAGGAAAAAATTTTCAGGGACCGTTTGTTAATTATCAATACAAAAAATTATTTTGAATGTTATACTATGTTCAGACAGCCAAATTTTTGATATTGATGAAATGAAATTAAAATAATATCGAAAGTGTACTGTCCAAAATTAAGGAAATCATATGTTTTTTGTTTACAAATGGAATGTTAAAAATTACGTGCTCCAAACACCATTTATATCTGGGAAATTTTGAAAGTTGATTGTTATAGTAGTTTTATTAGCTTTGGTGGATTTCAGTTATGTGAATTATTATTTTTCACTCTATTTTAAATTAATAACAATTACAGTTTTTTCTCTATATTCAAATTTAAAAATTTGCTGGATGTTTAAAACTTTTTCCGATTTTATTAAATTCAGCTGTCACTGACAAAGGTTGTCACCTTGTAGTTATCTCAACTTATCTTTTGCTTAAAATTTATCTTACGCATAGTTCCATTTGAAATGTGCTTTAATTTCAGCTATTATAATTTCAGATATTA